TTATTACTTGCTTAAATATTAGACTTAAGATCAAGGCTTTTTGTTTTGCATACACTGTTTCATAAACAGTAACTGAGAAACACAGCGCCAGAGAAGTTTGTAGTTACAGCAGTTTGTTAGAGGTGCGATTTTAATCTGCCCAGCTCCAAATCCACCACACATCATCACTGTTCTTGCCTTTAGAAGCCATTCGCTCTCATTTTCTTATTGAACTTGTGAAAAATTCTGACAAACTCTACCTTTAAGAACTTGTATGATTCCAAGTTGAGTTTCAGAAACAGAGCAGAGGGAAGGGTGTGGGGCCATGGTTTTGTTTTTGCAGGCTGTATTAGATGGTAGCAGCTTCCATTTCACGTGCTGGGTACAAGAGTTAACTCTCGAGCACATGAGCAATGGCAGGGCAGGAATGCCTTTGGAAGTAACTCTGGCCATGAGCTCTCCCTAAGGACACGTGCCGGAAGACTGTTTTAGGAACACCTGTGTTCATATTTGTCTTGCCTAAATAAGGCATTTTCTTTTTTAAACTTCATTTTAAAATTTTTATGCATTTTGGTCATATTCCTCCCCACGCCCCCACTCTTTCCAGACCTCCTCCTACTTCATATGAACCAAACAAACATCACACATACACAACACACACACACCCAAAACCAAGCAAACAAAAAATAAGACAAAAAAAGAGACAAAACCAAAACATGGAGTCTGTTTAGCGTTGGCCAACTATTCCTGAGCATGCAGCCTGCCCAGGGTAAATGGCACGCACAGCATTTTTTACTAGAATTATTCCGCAATGATTAACACCTAGTGAACACCTGTTGTGCTCCTGTCTCCTTCTCCGCTCCTTCCTATCTGCTTGTTGGTTCTTCTGTGTTAGGTCTTGTGAATACCAAGATGATGAGAAAGTCAGGAACAGTGGAGAAAGGCACCGTGGAAAATGAAAAATGTCGTAAAGAATACTGCACACACAAACTCAGGAATGGAGAAGTCAACAGAAATCCTAGCTCTGTGGGGCTCCCAAAATATTACAAATGACGTCATATTAGCACATTCTACCCTGCAGTGATGTATGGAATGTTAGCCAAGATAGAGGCAGGAGTGACAAGTTGTTCCCTTTGAGGTTGTATCAAGCAGAGATGGCACTGAATGACTTTCCAGGGTGTCGCCCAGCCGTATGATCCGGCACAACATGAAGCACACATAGTTTGGATCTGGGGATGTGGTTATACAAAATCCTAAAGGAATTTAATCAGAGGGGAAAGTACTTAGCATGGCTTGTTTGTCCTTCACGGACACTGTAGAAGAATGTTAGCAGGCTTTGACTCTTCTCCTCTGTGTTTATAGGAAGACACCTGCTGTGAGTCCAACAGAGAGCCCAGGAGAGCAAGAAAGAAAGGGTCTCCTGGGAGCGCGTTTGTGAGAAGGTGCTAGTCCGTGCAGGAAGGTCAGATAAACGCTTGATTTCCCTTCACTTAAACATGATATAAATGTAAATCTATAGAGCTCCTTCCATTCTGAAGGTGAAAGGGATTATAAAAAAACCATGGACTCAGGATACTTTTCATATACATATACATGCAAGCCATCATTTATGAGTAATAATTTCACAAGTATTCACGTAAACTGTTAAATTTAAGATGGTACAATCTAATAGTCAAAGGAAATCCAATTCTAGATAATAAAATTATTAAAATGACACTGTGGCTTCATAATAAAGTTGTATTTCTTTTCTCTCTCTCTCTCTCTCTCTCTCTCTTGGTTTTTCAAGACAGGGTTTCTTTATTTACCAGCCCTGGCTGTTCTGGAACTCTCTTTGCAGACCAGACTGACCTCCAGAGCGCTGGGATTAAAGGTGTGCACCACCGAGCCCGGCTAACGTTGTGTTTCTCTCCCTGTCTAGAAAGCGCTATGAACTACTACGAATGCGAATGTGCATATGATTTCCAGAGTTGTTCTTTGTCGGGTGTTACAGTGTACACCTCTAATCCCAGCATTTAGGAGTCTGGGAAGGAGTATCATGAATCTGGGCAGCTGGGCTCTCTAGTGACTATCTCAAGATGCACAAACATGCATACACGCACAGAAACTCACCCGCCCATCCTGACAAAATGTTTTTATTCAAACGACTAGACTTGGAAGGAAATTTTACATAGTCAGTTTTTACCCAGAACAGCTTTACAACTACCAGATGTCACCCAGCAGCTTGACAGGACTGACAACCTACTCTCACAAAAAAGCCTGGGCTACACCTTTGCTAAGAAAGCGCCCTAAATACTCTTGTTCTGATGTGGGAGTGATTTCTTATTAATAAAGAAACTGCCTAGGCCCCTTGATAAGGCCCACCCTTAGGTGGGTGGAGAAAACAGAGGAGAATTCTGGGAGAAGGAGGCTTGGTGGAGCAGTCGCCATGATTCTCCTGCGCCACACAGACGCAGGTTAAGATCCTCCCTGGTAAGCCAGCTCGTGGGCTACACAGAATATTAGGAATGGGTTAAAACAATATGTAAGAGCTAACCAATAAGAAGCTGGAACTAGCCGGGCCAGGCAGTGTTTGAAAGAATACAGTTTCCGTGTAATTATTTCTGGGCATAAGCTAGCCATGCGAGCGGCCGGGTGCCGGGGACGCAGCCCTGCCGCTCCTAATTTCAACATTGTTCAGAATTCCATCTTCGCTCTGTGCTGCAAGCTTTATGGGAATATAGCAAAGAGGCACTCAGCAGGATAAAGCACATGGCTTGTTTTCTCCTTTCCCCCATAATCCCCTGAGTTTAGAGACTTTGTTTTTTGTTGATGAAAAAGCAGCTGTGGTTCTGATGTAGCTCCTAAGCATTTCCATTCTATCCCTCTTTCTTTCTATGGTGAGCCAGAGATGGGGTCATCCTGGGGTCATCAGGATCGCAGAGATCAGCTCAGGCTAATCCAGTCTGTAAGCCAGTGTTAACAGCGCCATGGCTGGGGTGGGGTGAAGAGCAGCTGGAAGATGCTTGCCAGCACGCATGGACTCTAGGTCCACTATCCAGCACTTCACACTGGCCATGACGTGCGAGGTTCAAGGTCATTCTTGGTTATGTAGCCCATCTGAGGCCAGCCAGGACTAAATGAGACCTCTTTCAAAGACACCGAGATACCTTTTATCTCCTGTATAGTTTGTGTCTTAAAAACTGGCAGGATTATTTTGAATTAAACTTGTTTTCCTTTTTAAAAGCTTCTGCCAAGGCATTATGAAATCTTGCGAAATGCTTAGCACTTTCAATCTGGATAGAGAACTAAGATGTTAGAAAAATATAGACTGTCTGGAGCACCTGAGCTTGCATGCACAGCAGCCTTGTAAAACCTGGGCGTACAGTTTGTCTGCAATCCTAGCACTGGGGGCAGGGACAGATGGATTCCTGCGGTTTGACAGTTTAGCAGAAATGGAAAATCCCAAGTTTGGGGGGTGAACAGGGGAGGGGAAGAGGGGGAGAGGGGGAGAAAGAGTGGAGGAGGGGAAAGGGAGAGAGGGAAGGGGGGAAGAAGGGAAGCGGAGGGAGGGGGAGATCCTGTTTCACGAAGAGTAAGAAAGAGAATAAGGAAGATGCTCATTGATGACGTGTGGCCTTCACAAGCATACACATGTACTAACACGCTTGTATACATGCATATACATGTAGTAGCACGCGTGTGCGCGTGCACACACACAAACACACACCAACAAAAACTGCCCAAAAATGAAAAGTAAGAAAAATGTAGAAGACTGGATGGATAACAACAAAAAGAAAACAATAAAATTTGAATTTCTTTCTTTTTTGGTTCAGGAAGTTAGGGTTCCAATCTCTAACTCTCTTTGAGATGGATATTCACATATCTACATATATGGTTACCTCTCTCTCTCTCTCTCTCTCTCTCTCTCTCTGAGGTGTTTGCCAATTTAAATGGATGATGGAGAAAGTCTGTTTCATGTAGTGAATCTGAGAGGCGAGAGGAAGCGCCAGGGAATGGAGGTGGCTGATCAGCCGGTTTGCATTAAGGCTTAGGCTAAGTCCCTGGGAGCAGCAAACAAACAGAATTGTTGCAGACTATTCCTTTACACTGTGAGAGGTGTCACTCTGATTGGTTAATACAGAGCTGAATGGCCATAAGCTGGACAGGAAGAGGGTAGGAGGGACTTCTGGGGTCAGAGAGGACTCGGAGAGGAAAACAGCAGGGTTGCCAGCCAGATGGAGAGGAAGCAGGGTGGGCAGTACAGAGTCAAGGTTAACCGAGCCACGTAAAAGAGTGTACATTCAAAGATAGGGCTTAATTTAAGTTCTAAGAACTAGTTAGGGACAAGTGTAAGCTAAGGCCAAGCGTTCATAATTAATAATAAGTCTATATCATTTTTTGTGAAAGGAGGCCCAAAGAAAAATCTGTCTACACAAAACAAAACACAAAAACCCACCCCTCAAACTGCTGTACATATGTGAAAAGTTAAAAAAGGTATATACATAAAAATCAGAGTATCTCCATATATTTCATATTAAATATAACACATTTGTAATAGGGTATACATTTTAAAATTTATTATTCACTACAAAAAAACTCCACTTACATAGGAAGTTACTTAGAAAATCCAACCAACTTCACTGTAGTCTTTTATTTTATATAAAAAAACTAACTGCAATAATCAGCAGGGACATAAAATCCAGTAAGTATGTAGACTATAGAATTGTTTTCAAGTATGCAATCTGATAACAAATCCTACTTCATTTATAAAGCTGCAAAACTCAAATGTAAAAACTGTTTCTGTTGCTGTAGTTACCAAAAGGACAAACCAGGCTTTGGGAGACAGCTCTTCAATACAATAACGTCATACAACACAAAAATAAAACACCAAAATACTGCTATTTAGTCCATAGGCACTTTGAAGAATTTGTAGTAGTACACTCTAAGGAGTGATGGGCAGCAACAGCAGGGGTGTCGATTTTACTTCCAGAATCTATAAAACCCCAATGCTATTGCCAAGCAAGTGAACACCGAGGCTGTGGAAGAAAAGAAGCTATGTTACAAGTTATAGTTTAATTAATTTCGGGTCGTAAAATAATAATTAAATAAACAGAAACAAAATCAGATTTATAGCCCATGTTCTTTATTCCCTAGAAAACTAAACTAAGGATAAAAGGCATTTGTAAGGCAAGATTTATATCAATAGCCTCCTGTATTGCAGAGAGTAAAAATAAAAATAATTTTAAAATACAGTTATGTGAGCAGTACTTCAAAGTTGCTAGCATTGTGTCTTAGGGTTTCTACTGCTGTGATAAACACTGTAGCTAAGCAGCCTGGGGAGGAAAGGGTCTATGTTATCTTACACTCTGAGGTCACACTCCATCACTGAGGGAGGTCAGGACATGGAGCAGGAACTGAAGCAGAACCAGCTTGCTCACTGGCATACTCGGCCTGCCTTCAGCCTGCCCAGAGGTCAGTGGCACCACCCACAGTGGCCTGAGCCCTCTCACATCAAACATCAAAATATGCGAACAGATTTATGGGCCAATTCTTAGCTTAGCTCATCTTCATGAGTCTGATTACATAGTCAGGGTTTCTCTTAAGGTTCTATAGAATCCAACTCCAAGAGTGTACACGATGGGGCTATTCTACACAACGTATCTTAAGGAATTCACCCGCACTGCTGATAGCCTGCCCAAGACTTCCCTTCAAGGACTGGCACTTTAGTTTAAATTTACATAGGGAAGGTGAATGTCCTGGACCAGTCCTCACACTGCCATCATGCCAGGGAGTCCCATGCCTACCACACAATAATTAATATTTGTCATTATAGAATGCAGTTATAATAAAGTCTTTCTGAAATGGATCTTGACCACCAAAAAAAAAAAAATTCCCCACAGGCGTGGCTGACCTTATGGAGGTATTTTCTCAGTCAAGGTTGAGGTTTCTGGGCACAGACTTGTGCCCCATACTTCCAGATACTTGGGAGGCTAAGCCTAGAAGTTTTGGGCAAATTGACAGCCAAATCCTACAGTGTTTGTGAATCTTCAGTAAATGGGACCTTATTGTCTTATTAGCAACATCTCAGGTATTCTAGGGAAAGTAGGTCCACTTAGGCTGTATCTTCCTACTTATTTAAAAATACGTAATTGTGGCTTCCTAAAATGCTTGCCAGTAACAACAGTACTAAGACATATTTAAAGAAGGAAGGAGAAAATGCCTCAGTATTACTGATTTCAAATCCTCAGTGAAGAAAACAAAAGAAGAATGACCAGGAAAGTCTTTATTTTTGTGTGTATGTGTATTTTACATGTATGGCTGTGAACCATGTGTGTGACTTGTGCCTATTGAGACCAGAAAAGAACACAGCATCCCCTGGGACTGGAGTTACAGAAGGTTGTGAGCCACCATGTGGGTACTGGGAATCAACCCTTGTCCTTGAAAATAACAACCAATGCCCTTAACCACTGAGCCTTCTCTCTAGACCCAGAAAAATCTTTTTTAAAACAATCGCTAATTTGCTTTACTCTTTTGCTACCACTAAGCCTATTAGATTTACCCTGGAGATGTAAACTGCTAAATGAAAGCTTTTTAGAAAATGTCACCATCTTCAACTTGGAGGGTAAAGGGGATTTGTTTTTAACTGTGGTATTTTGTAAGTAAATATGCTAGAGAATACTGGAAAATGCCAGCTCCAATTCGAAACCATTCCTTTGTTACTTGGGTACTGATTTTAGAAGAGAGTGAGCATCCCAGAGTGATTAGCATTACAGTTAAGCTCAAGGCCTTCGCTTTTACAGATTTTTCTAGAGTAGGGGTCTTCAAAGCCTAGCTTTAGAATTATTATTATTCTTATTGGTTTTTGGAGACAGGGTTTCTCTGCGTAACAGCCCTGGTTGTCCTGGAACTCATTCTTTTAGGCCAGGCTGGCCTCGAACTCACAGAGATACGCCTGCCTCTGCCTCCCGAGTGCCACTACTGCTGTCTTAGAACTATTTTTTTAATCTGAATTTTAAGAAGGAACCTAATGTTAAGGAGATAAAAAACAAGAGCTGTCATAGTTAAGAAAGAAGGTGCTGGGCTGGACAGATAGATAACTCAGTCGTTAAGAGCACTGACTGCTCTTCCAGAGGACCCAGATTCAATTCCCAACACCCACATCGCAGCTCAAAATTGTCTGTAACTCCAGTTCCAGGGGACCTGACACTCATGGCAAAATACAAGTGCACACAAAATAAAATAAAATTTAAAAAATTAAGAAGAAAGAAGCAGCTTTTTAAAATTTAATTTTTTTAATTTTAAAAAATTAGAAAGAAAGAAAGAAAGAAAGAAAGAAAGAAAGAAAGAAAGAAAGAAAGAAAGAGAAAGAAGCATCAGCTGAGGGCTGACTCCATCCTCTAACTGGTCACATCACCACAGACAGGGGCTGGCTGGAAAACCACTATGATCAGGGTTTTTATAGTATTTTGTTAATGCACACATTTAAAACAGTTGTATCTTCTGACTCCAAGTTTTTAAGCGCATAGCAACAAGGGTATAGCAGCGTGTGTCCTCAGAAAGCACGCACGTGCACGGATGTGCAGACTGGCAGGGCTCTTCAGGACAGAGAATTGAAAGCAACGTTGTTGGGGGAATTATAACATTTTGAACAACAGAATACTATCTTTTGTAATAAAAAGATGTGTGTTAATGTTAAAATATACTTAAGACATTTAGTTACATTTGAACACACAGAGTTAATTATAATGTATAATTCCTTTTTATAAGTAGATATATAACTTGTATATAGCAGACAAGAGATAAACTGCAAATAGTAAATAAAGAAGGTGAGGGAATTTTCACTGCTCTTGAATTATATGGATAATTTAAATAAAAACACATTGCTTTTATGAAAAAGGAGAAAGACAAGTAATACGTAACCAGTACATTCTCCTATTACACGGGGCCGTGAAATCTTCAGTCAGATTGAAGCTGTGGAGCTCAAAAGGAGACAATCTAATTTTGGGATGGTATCTGTGTGCTCAGTCGGTTTGGGGTGAGATGTTTCCGGACCCTCCACTCCTTTCTGCTATGTTTTTTTTAACAGCCTGCATCTACTTCAGTGATCTTTCTAATGCCATTCAAACTATAAAATGATTTTTTCCCCCAAAAATTTACCCAATTAATTTTACCACTTTGTTCTTGGGTTTATTTTCTCAAGAGCCAGACACCCTTTTCTCTAACTGAATTGCCCAGTTGCCTGATAAACTTCAATCTTGAAACTTCAAGCAAAGCAGGGTATCAATCAGTAAAGAGTATTTTGCTCCTTTTTCTTCTCTCCTGGAATAGTTATCCAGACACATAGGAACCAACAGATCCAAAAACTGTCAGCAGCACTTCCTTTCTGACAGACTTACCTGCAAGATAACGAACGGTTTCAAGTTTGTTTGATTCCATCAGTGTTTTTAAGGAAGCAATTTCAGTATCAATTTTATTACTGGTCTCTGAAATAATACTTTTAATTTGGGTATCCTATAGCAAATCAGAATAAAAAGAATTATATTTTTGTCCCTATGTAATATGAACAAAACATTTATATTAAAACCTTCAATTGTGTGCTAACTGTGCATCTAATAAAGTCTTAATAGTAAATGAATACTGCCAAGTAACAAAAAATTCCCCTAATTTCGTATCTGGAGGTAATTTCCTCGAATTATTCAATACTGGGCACAGCCTACTAAAAATCTCCTAAGATATTTGAGACCTAAATATATATGATAAACTAAGAAGTAAACATTTTAGTCACACCTATCGTTTTATAGGTAAAGTCCTTGGAATATTATTAATAATTTAAACATAAGAGCATATTTTAAATACATTTTGCCAAAAAAATCATCCAAGTTTATAATATGAACGGAGATGAATATACAAGGAACTGGCATACACCTGGTGGGTAACTCTGCAGTATAGGGAAGAGCGCTCAGAAATTAGCTGAGAGAATTTGCTCATTTTCTTAATTATCTATTTTTTCTGGCTAACAAGTCTAAGAAAACGAATTCTTGAAAGAGCACAGGTGATCTTTCCATCTCCAAGTTCCGAGCAAGAGAACTTTTAAAGAAAAGGATGAGGCTAAGTCAGAAAGCTAGATTTTACTTATTGTTTAATTAATATATTCAGGATTACTGAGAATGTAAGCAGACCTCTAAGTACAGGGTTCAGAGCCTGGATTCTTTATTTGAGATAGGATATTGCATAGTAATCTAGCCTGGCTTCAAACTCATGGCAGTCCTGAGTTCTGGGATTATATACCACACCTGGATTAGAATCTGAGTTCTTTTTTAAAAAAATTATTTATATTTCATGTGCATTACTGTTTTGCCTGTATATGTCTGTACGAGGGTGTGAGGTCCCCTGGAACTGGAGTTACAGACAGTTGTAAGCTGCCATGTGGGTGCTGGGAATTGAACTTGGGTTCTGGAAGAGAAGCCTGTGCTCTTAACTCCAGCTCCTACAATCTATGTTCTTTTCTCAACTCTATCAACTTCTGGCTGTATGATTTTAACCTTTTCGTGTATCATTTTCCAAACTGTAAAGTACAAATAATACTCAGTATAGAGGCTGGCCTGAAGATTAAATGCGTAGCAGACACAAGTATATGTATAATGGTAGCTAGTATATAATAAATAGTAAATATTTACTATGATTTAAAATGTTTATTTAAATCTAGACATTTACTTAAACAATAGTGAATTTCTTTTTATAAAAGTAGCTATTATCTATATAAAAAGTTAAAATTTGAAAAGTATGTCATGAACAAGTTAATTCTTTGGGAGGGGGCATTATTTTCAGAACAGAGTTACACTGTGTAGCTCTGATTGACCTTGACTTGACTATGTAGAGATCAGGCTAGCCTTGAACTCACAGAGATCCACCTGTCTCCCAAGTGTTGAGATTAAAAGCAGTGCTACCATGCCCAATCCTTACTTCAGTTTTTCAAAGTATTTGTTTTATTTTAGATTGTGTCTGTGTGGATATGTGATCCCCTGGAACAGGAAGTACAGGTGGTTGTGAGTGCTGGGAACCAAACTCTAGTCCCTGCGAGTGTAGCGTGCTGAGTGGCCACTGTAGCCCTGGGAGGCTTTCATTCTTATTCCAAGGGTGCAGCTCATGTAGCCCCGCTTCCGAAGCAGCTTCCCCAGAGGCTGGCGGGCTGAAAGAGCTGCGAGGAAACCAGATCCTACAGGCTCGGTATGTGAAGTCCAAGCTTTTACAAACTGATGCACACCAAAGTGTCACACAAACAAGGAACATGACATAAGGGGAGGGGAACTTCTGTATATTAGCCTTACCTTTTTGGTAAATTCATTGGTTGCTTCCATAAGTTGCTTTTCTTGATCTGTGAACTAAAGGATATAGAGGCAGAAGGTTAAAAGAAAGAGGGGCAGCAAGATGTCGCAGTGGGGAGAGACACTTGCCACACAGGCCTGCAACCTGAGGGTCCTGGGAGCCCACAGGCGGGTGAAGGACAGACTGATTCTGTGACGTTATCCCTCACCTTCCATGCGTCACAACGACAACAGGAAAAGGTTATACATAATTTAAAAGGGAAAAAAATAAAAAGTTCATTTAAAAGCACATTGTTGGAGGTGCTGGGAGGATGCTCAGTCATCAAGAGTGCTTGCTGCTTTTCCTGGGGACTTCAGTTTGATCTCTGGCACCCACACAGTGCAGTTCACAGCAGTTATAACAGCAGCTCCAGGGGACCTGACACTTGTGGCCTCCTAGGGTATCTGCGCTCATGCAGACAGCCACATGTGGACACACAACATCCTCACATCTACGCATAACTAAAAAAATATTAAAAAGCAAAACAAAACAAAAGCACATTACTGGGCTGGTGAGATGGTGGCTCAGTAGCTAAAGACACCTGCTACCAAGCCTGACAACCTGAGTTCTATCCCTAGGATCCACATGGTGGAAGGAGAAACCTAACTCCCATAAGTCAGTCTTCTGACCTTCACCAGTGTGCCCACACAAATCACATACACAAAATGAATAAAATGTAATTAATTTTTTAAAAAGCATATTACCATGTCTGTTACTCGGCTCCTTTCCAGGTTGATGTCCAGCTTATTGTCTGCTCTGATCCGACTGGTTTCATGCTTTAAAGAAAAATCAGTATTTTTAACAATTATCTTGTAGTGGGTATTTGTTACAAAACCAGTGAAATAAATTTCACTTACGGTCAGCTGCTGCTTAACTTGATCTAATTCAATTTTCATTTTCTAGGTGTAAAAGAGGTGACAATTAGCATCAATCCAAAAGTCCCGAGTGTTACTTTAAAAGTTTGAAAACTAATATAAAGGAATACATATTACATTTGTATTTTGGAGTCTGAGTTACCTCACTCGGGATTATTTTCTCTGGCTCCACCCATTTGCCTATAAATTTTATGATTTCCTTTTTTTAAATGCTGAGAATATCCCTTTGTATAAATTTACCCCATTTCTGTCTATTTGTCCATTGATGAACATCTAGGCTGTTTTTAATTTCTAGCTATTATAAATAAAGCAGCAATAAACATGAAAAAAAGTTTGAAAACTTAGATTAGCAGAATTTGTACCTCTATGGATTTTTAATACAGGATTATGATTTAAAAAGCAAAACACTAAGACAACTGTAGTCATTAAATAAACATCAGGTAGAAAACATTTAGTCCTGGTATTAGATTCTACCTTTAAAATGATTTGCTTTTTTTAAAAAAAGATTTATTTTATGTGCATTGGTGTTTTGAGCGTGTGCGCGTGAGCGCGCGCGCGCACGCGCGCGCGCGCACACACACACACACACACACACACACATACACGCTGCCATGTGGCTACTGAAAATTGAACCTGGGTCCTCTGGAAGAACAGCCAGTGCTCTTAACATCTCAGCCATTTCTCCAACCCCATGTTGTTTTCAATTCTAAAATATTTAAGCTAGGGCTGGAGACGTGGCTCAGTGGTTAAGACTGCGTGCTCCTAGTTCAGAGGACTGAGTTTAAAGTTCCCAACACCAACGTCTGATAGGGGCCAGCTGCCTGTAACTCTGATACCCTCTTCTGACCTCTGTAGGTATCATAGGGTATATCTCTCTCTACGGTCCCCCTCCTCTTCCCTCCCAACCCTCTCCAAATTGATCTTAAACTTTGGCTAGTAGAGAACTCAATTTCTGACTTAACCACAAAGATACATTTGGGGGTCTACAGAGATGGCTAGTGGTAGCTTGGTTTCTAGCAATCAAGTCCAGTTGCTCCAACTCCACAGGATCTGATGCTTTCTTCTGGCGCCTGCACCCATACACATACAACCACATACATATAAACAGAATTTAAAAATAATAAGTATTTAAAATACATTTTTCTCATGTTGTCAAACAACAGCATTAAATAAAATGGAGAATATCACAGTACTTTCAGTTTAAAGAATAACATATGATAAGCTATACTAGAAAATTTATATTGGCACTCAAATTTTTCTCCTTTTATAAAAACAACTTACAATATGTATGCAAAAAATGGTTTACAGATAAAGATTAGCTAAGGTTAAACAGTGAATTTTGTTTTTGGTTTCTGTGACAGGATCTCACTTTGTAGCCCTAGCTGGCCTAGAATGTGCTATGTAGACCAGGCTGGCCTAAACCACACGGAGATCCCCCTGCCCCTGCCTCCTAAGTGCTGGAATTAAAGGTGTGCATCACCATGGCCAGCTTTAAACAGTGAATTTTAATCTAAAAACTTGTAGTACATAATATTTTGGGGTCTTTCTATTTAATAAAGAAGCATAATTGTGAGATCAGTTACTTTTTTATCACTAGTAGTAAGTTAAAAGTTCTGTCACCTCATTCTCTGCTCTCAGATTCGCGAATTCACTCTTCTCTAGGATGACCATGTCTTTCCTGATGGAATCCAAGTGAGCCATCAGCTGCTGGACTGTGATTTCCTACAACAGAAAATGAAAACAATGCATGGGATGTCATGTATGGAATGGCGGCATCCTTCTAGTTTTGAATTGCCTTATGGAACTGTCAAAGAGTATGCCGACATGCAAACATGTAATTACTACACATGGAACCCACCTGTCTGAAGTAGCAAAGGAAAAACGAGGAAATTCAAGGAAAAAACCCCTCACTTTCTCACAGTGAAGAGCAGTACCTAGGTCTTTTCATGAAGAGAATCCTAAGAAAAGTGCTTACATTCCTCAACAAATGGTGTTTCACGGATGTTTTAGGTTAACTTATGCGTTTTATGTATATGAGTGCTCTGTCTCCATGTGGGCCAGAGGCGGAAATCAGATCCCATCACAGATGGTTGTGAGCCACCATGTGGGAGCTGGGAATTGAACTCAGGTCCTCTGGAAGAACAGCCAGTGCTCTTAACTGCTGAGCCATCTCTCCAGCCCCTTGGTTCTGTTTTTTTTAATATTTGTTGTTTTGATTTTGAGAGACTTTTATACCACAGGAAAATACTAAGATATCAAATAGGAGTCAGAGGTTTGGTTGTAAAGAAAATAAGCTACATATTTTCCTTTATCAGGACAGCATATTTAGTTTGGTTTAAATTTCCTGGACTCTCCTATATTTGACACTACAGAGAAAATATGAAAGAAAAGGTAACTCCTACAGGAAAGAATCATTCATATGCATTTGCTTTATAAAGAACTTTAAATGTGATTTTTGGAGAAAAGGTCCTGTTCTACGTAACTTTAAAAAATACTTAGAGACTACTTTATTAGTTTCTGTAATAAACCCTGTACAAATGGGTAAAATTAAGTTTAACATTTTCAAGTTACAATTTAAAAAAACCCAAAACATTAACATATCCTGACCACTTGCTTAAAATGGTGTCAGGTTGTTTTACTATCAAAAAGCTAGGTGACTACCTTCTGTGTGACAGGTGCAAATTGTGCCTTGTACGTTGCCCACAATTCTGGCTGCCACACAATATAAAAACATGGGCTGTATAATTCGGCCCCTACAAGCTAGTTCCAGATAGGCACCAAAACTACACAGAGAAACCCTGTCTGGAAAAACAAACAAAATTTTCAACTTCATATCCACTCAGATTTGAACATTTTAGCCAGGTAATTTATAGTCTTTTCTAGCAATGTTAGTCCCTTCTAGCTTTTGAAGTTTGTGAAGATTAACCATGCATACATAAAAACAGTGAATGTGTCATGTAAAAAGATTAGCTCTTCTATTTTGGAGGCTTTTCCAAAGGAAAAGGTGTTTCACCATCTCCTGACTGAAACACTACATTTATCTTGCTCAAGGGAAGGTGGCCAGATTCCACACTTGGTACACTGTACTCTTGTGAGGGACACTCCAGTCCTGTTTCTAGACAGACTGTGAAAGGCCTTTCCAATTCTTCCTTTCCTCCTTCCCTGGAAACGACAGGAGCGATAAGACAAAGAACGTATTACCTGCTGGGCTTTAGTCACCATCTCCTTATAGATGGTGTCCAGGCTGACATTCGATAGCGTACTTAGGACCGACACAATCGTCTGCGCCTGCGTCTTGTCAAACCCTGTATACAAGGAAACCTACAATTTAAGCATGGCATGACTAGCGGAAGAGATAGCTAACACCCTTTCAGCACCCCAACTGTTATACTTAAAGCAGTTACAGTGGAAATATGACAGACGATGCTATCTTATCTGATAATGCTCTAGTTCCCAACAGAGCTAGGTCGACAGCAAAACCCAGCATGTCTAGTCTCTTTTGATAGATTATATAACTGGCAATACGTGGTATGACTTTCATTTGTACTTTGTGGATGGTGTGGCTAACACTTCCATATACATTTTTAGTTAATTTTTGGTATACTGTTTTACATGGCCTTTGCCTAGTTTTCTATGAAATTACTAATCTTTAGCATTAGCCTTTTAAAAGTTTTTTGTTGTTTTTACTTCAATGAACTTATTTTGTGCATATAATATCATACAGTGCCTCTCGTCACAGTATGCCTTTTCCCAACATTGTGATTCTAAGTGACTATAAAATACTGTGTGTACAGTGGGCACCTCTCTTTCAAAAATCCCCCTTCACTGTTGGTAACGGTGCCACTGTCTTGACTTGGGAATTTATTATATGAGTGCTGCTTTCCTTTTTCGAGTACTCATTTCTCACCGTGAGTTTCCAAGTCCTGCACCAGCGCGTGGGTATCAAAAGTTAATTTTCGTTGTTCTAGAGGAGTTATGTCCACTGGCCTCCTGTCATAACTTGCCTTAGTTATGGTTGTCAAGAAACCTGAAAAGAGGAGACAGTGTCATCCTGTAATAATGTATAGTGGTATCACACTAAGGCTTCTAAAGAGCTCTCTTCCTGTAATCTCACCCAGATTAACTGGCTCTTCTGTGGTATAGGACAATGGTCTGTATGCTGTCAATTTTATTTTAAATAAACGCTGATTGGCCAGTAGCCAGGCAGGAAGTATAGGCAGGACAACCAGACAGGAAGTAGAGGCAGGCCAATGAGAACAGGAGAATTCTGGGAAGAAAGAAGTCCTAGTGTGCAGTCCTGACCCAGCCACAGAGCAAGCAAGATGTAACTGCCTCAGTGAAAAAGGTACCAAGTCACATGGCTAACACAGACAAGAATAATGGGCTAATATAAGTTATAAGAGTTAATAAGAAGCCCGAGCTAATGGGCCAATCAGTTTATAGTTAATGTAGACCTCTGTGTGATTTCTTTGGGACTTAACGACTGCAGGAACAGGCAGGACAGAAAACTCAGTCAACACTTCTGAACGCTTTTCATCTGAAAAGTCTCTGATGTATTCTGTGCACAGCAAACATGTAACATATTCATCATTCAGAAGTGTTTTCAGAGTTGCTCTAGATCCTAACGTGGCATATTCTAATTACCAAGTGTCCCCACTTTCTGTGGTGCCTGCAAGTTGCTTAGTGCTACTAAACTTTTCTATGTGTATGTTCTTATCTAACGTAACCTCTGTTCTCTTACGGACCCATATCACCTATTTCCTACGGTGTTCAGCTCAGATACAGTTAGCATGCTGGCTGTTCTTTCTGACCTAGACTATGAGCCCTGTGCTGCTGTGGGCTGTACTTTTTGTTACGCAGTCTATAGGACCCCTAAGGACACTTGTGCAGCAGTTTCCTCTGAGACTGGAACATTCCACCTTGTAGAGAAGCTTCTTAAACAGGAAGGTAAAATAACTCAAAATACCTTCAGGAAGTCCCTGAAACTGACCAGGTTCACTAGGACCCCCTTCCTGCCAGGGTAAATGATAAAAGCTGAGAGTCCCCCTGGAATGGAAGGAAGTTGTGTAGACAATTCTAGGAGAAGTCAAATTGCCGAGAAGGCTCGGACAAACAAAACTGAAAGAGGAGAAAAGCTCCAAAGATGATTCAGACCAGAACAGCTGCCCCAAAGAAGCAGAGACCAGCTGGGCTGCCTGGAGGAGGTTCAGACCAACCGAGGCATCTGGAAAGGACACTCTCCAACCTGTTGAGCTGCCTGCAGGCTGTACAGTGTGCTCTAAGTCCTCAGCTTTGTCCACTGTCACCCAGGCTGGGGTGGGGGTGGGACAGCTGCTGATACATTTGTCTCTGAGTCATTTCTGCTTCTATAAGCAAGCCCTCACCTGTCTTGTAAGTAACCACAATAAAACTCATGGGTCACCAAGTTGGACTTCGGTATTATCTGTACTTTGGTCTGTCATGGGCTCTCTAACTGGGGTGAGTAGATGTGTGTGTTGTGTCTACCCAGGAAAAGTTCTGTCATACAGCACTTTGATACACAGGTGAGTCATGATCAATGAATCTGATTTTAAGTCCTGGAGCATTTACTGGTCAGTTCTGAAGTCTTTTGGTCCTGCTCCATTCAATTCCCAAAACTTCACTCAGACACAGATTAGTCTTTTTCTCTGTTACTGATTAATTTTATTATAAAGTATTTCCTCTGAAGATGAATTCTGCACATATAAAACTATTATGATACATTAAGATAATAACCGTCAGTGTAATAGTCAAATACAAGGTATTATAGCAGATAACTTATATGCCGCCAAGGCAAGGTAGTATTATTCACTTCTTTAAATTAAAAACAAAACAAAACACTTATTAGAGTTGGACATGGTACCTCACACTGGATATGGTGATTCTAGTACACAAGAGACTGAGGCAGAAGGATCATGAATTCAATGCTATCCTGGGCTACATAATGGAACCAGACCAAACTAGACCAAACCATACCACGCTTAGGAAAGGCAAAGGAATTTGCTTAGGTTAAAGACCCTATGGCAGGTAAAAGGATTTCAATTTGGGTTCTTTTGACTACAAAGCTCACATTCCATCACCTTGTGTGGTCTGCCTCATTTATCCCAAGGTACTTATATATCTAGGTACTTAAATGGCAGCCTCAATTTCAGGCATTACTTTATGCTAGTGATTTATAGGGCATATGTGATTTCTTCTTAAATATCTTTATAGTCAACAAATGTAGACTAAGCACTAGGTCTGTGCCAGGCACAGGGCAATACACACTGAAGCCAGGCATTCCTGCCGTCTTACTGATTTTATCGATTGGAAGGCAGGAAATAGGCATTATTAAGAAAAATGAAAGCTTCACATCTGAATTCTGTTTAACCAAAGAGATAATAAAAGCAGCGGCTGGAAAAGGCGGACCCATGCTTTAAAAATAGATTAGCACAGTCAGCCTTCTTGTAGCTGAGTGCCATCTAGGAAAGGGGTAAAAATGTGCTTTTGTGTGTCACACCCAAAGGAGAGAAAAATAAAAATCAGACCTGTAGATTTCAGTAGCTGCCCTATACAGCTTCGTTAGGAGTGATGCTTGTTACCCTTAATTACCGCTTCCTCATTAGAAGTTCATTCTAGTTTAGAAAGAATTAGGAATACTTACATAACACTTTAGTGTTTTCATGCTTACTACCAAATTCTTAAAATTCTCATTTTATTAATGGATAAAAGTGATGCTCAGAGGCAAGTATGATATCTTAGATTTTAGGTCTCATGGGTAGTCACACTGGTACAGTTCCTGATTTCAGTCAACAAATAATGTATGGTCATACAAACGTTAGCTCCTTGGGATAGAGACCAAATACCTTAACATTGCCAACAACTCTCCAGCTAATCTCACGTCCTATTATGCACTCTGGCTCCTAGACTTTAACTCTACAAGCATGCCATCTGCTTGCTTTCCCTTCTTGGGGCCTTTGCCCAGTCTGTGTTCCAAAAGCTCTCGTTTGCCTGTTCCTACTCACTCTTCAGAGCCGTGCACAAATGCCTGTTCTGGTGGGACCTGTGCAAGGATTCCCGAGGTCAGGTCTCTCCTAGTGGGTTTAAAAGTACCTTGTAACATTCTCTCATAACGCCATTCACAACTTTCATATTACGAAACTATTGATTTGTAATGTAATGCCTCATTCAATCAGGCATTAGTCAGCTGCTGCCGTCAGGCTACCAACACCCAGTCTTCAAAGTTGTCTCCATAAATAAAACTTTATTGGAACTATTATCTATGACTGCTTTCATGCTTCAACAACAGAGAAGTGGTATTCAACCACATTAGCCACACAGCCTAAAGTATTTACTATTTGCCCCTTTTACAGAAAGTAAGCTAACCACGGAAGTAAACCTTGAGAGCAGGGGACACATCTGTTCTTGGTCTCCATTGAGTTCCCAGTGCCCGACAATTCTAGGTGCCCTAAAGCTATATGCTGGATGAAAGGAGCTGTGTTTGCATTTTATGTGCAATGATGAATGACTCTGTGGGGTCAGAGACTTGTTTACGTTGCCTCAGATTGCTGGGCTGTAGGGTACTTGATCACACTGTGAACCTCGAGATTGCCATATTTACTGGGAAAATCTGTCTCCAGATTTTCCCTAGCACACACCTTTAATTCAAGAGCTTTCTTGTAAACAGGATTAAAGTCAGTCAGTCATGGGTCAAGAGGTGGAGCAAGCAACCCGCAGACAGGAAGTGAACAGAGGCTTATTAAGGAAAAGAAAAGAGAATACGAGTGAGTCAGGATGATGGATAGAGAGATGCACAGGAAGTAGAAGGGAGGGACAATGGAGTTTGAGGAGGTCTTGTTTGAGGAGGTAGGAGAGAGAAGGCTTCTGGGACATCAGAGGAGGAGGAAGGCCGTCTCTGCCTCTCTGAACTAGCAGGCTTTCACCCCAGCATTGGCTCCTGAGTCCTTACTGGTAAAATCGACCGATGAGGATTTTGTTAAAAACAACAGCTGGGCTCAGATGATTCCATTTTAGCCCTGGACTTTTGAGGTTGTGTTTTTTGTGATATGATTTCAAAATATATCCACCGGATCAAAGGAGACATTTGATCCTTTGTGGGAATAAAGATTATCTGGAAATAACACGAGAGTTACAGAAAATCTTAAAGAAGTAAACCAGATAAACCCTGTGGGCGGGGCCCGGCAGGGGGCGTGTCCTCTAGAGTACGCCCACCCCGCCCCGCCCCGCCCGAATCGTTTCCCTGAGCGATTCCTTCTCTCACCTCTCCGCAGGGCGGGCGACAGACGCCCGCGGGGCGTTGAAGTCCAGCCACCTCGACTGCCGTCAGGGCGTAGGAGCCGCCAAAGCCAGCGGCTCCTCATATTCCCGGAGATCCGCGTCAGCAAGCGGAAGCGGAATACAGATGAACCTCGCAGAGGCTTTCTGACAATGTAGTTCTCTCACCATAAGAATGCTGGGAAATATAGTTTCCGTTCTGTTAATAAAAACATCTGCTTGCGGGGTCTCCAACGTGAGTCTGAGCCTCGTCACAGTCACACTTCACGAACGACTCCGAGCGTACCCCTTTAGCCTGTCGCCCCCTCCCCAGCCCTCTCTGGGCACCCATTTGTCGGCGTTGGGCTCCAACCCCACAGCAAGCTCTCCGGAGACTGTGTAGCCGCAGAGCATCCTGGGATTTGCAGTCCTCGCTCCTCAGCCTTGGAGGGCGGGACCGCGTTGTAACCTCCTCCTGGAGACTTGTGGCAAGTCCATCCCGCAACGCCGTTTTGCCGTTTCCCGTCTTTCTACTTGGCCCTCTGGTGCCTTGGAGGACCAACTGTTTTAGGCCCTTTCTTCAAGGGAAACGAAAATTCTCCTCTTACTGGGTCGGTAGGTTCACGATTTACGCCTCTCCCACTTCAATTACTATAGTAATGGCTCCATTTGGTAAAAATCTTGAAAATAACGTTATCAGCGGCTTCCTTAGATTTCAACTTTGTGAGAATCAGCTACTTACCGGTCACCATTCCAAGCACTGAAGTTCATTAAAAACAAAACTTGTTTTCCATCAGCAAGCGCTTCAGTAGACCCCACGTAGAAAACAGACGGTTCTGTCGGAGGTTACAGGGAACAGAGGTAGGAGGCACATCTGCCGTCTGCTGCACAGTAGCACACCCCTAATACTCGAGGGACTCAAGGTAGACTTTAAATTTTAATTTTTCAATTTCATTCTCAGAAATATGCGAATACCAGCTAGGTTAAGAATCAATATTGTGAAGAACATAAATCATTTCCAAATTCTTATTGTACAGGATTTTTTTTTTTTTTTTGCTAGGCTGCGTGGGGGTTACAAGGGTTCCTGCTCCATCAGATTGTGTAATGGAGAAAATAGACTTCCATAGAAAACAGTAATATATTAGCATCATGAGCGTTTGAACAACAGCTTCTCTCGCCCTGCCCAGAGCGAGATATTGGCAGTATCTGCAATAGCCAAGCTGTGGAAGAAGCCCAGGAGTCCATCAACAACAAGAATGTATCATATGCACAATTTGTTTTATTCAGCCACCAAGAAAATCAAACTCATGACATCTGTGGGAAAATAAGATAAACAAAGTGAGCCAGACCCACAAACACAAAACCCCATGCTTTCCCTTATATATGCAATCTAGGGGGTGTGTAGATGTATGGCAGTAAATTGAAGGGGAGGGCCGTTTGGAAAGTGCAAGGGAAGAGGAAAAGGAACAGTTATTGGGGGAGTAAAGAAGCACAGAGTACATTATCCTCTTGAATAAGAATGCTATTATTAATTCACTCCTTGTACAGTGAATATACACAATGACTTAGGAAAGAGAGACGAGGTAGGATTTAGACTTGTTTTTTAAGGATTTTTATTAAGTAGAGATTGTAGGGCACGGGGTCCTGGGGAGAGGGCCGGAGTGAGCAAGCTCACTTTGTTAATCTCGCCTCTTACTCGTGGCCTTTGCGTTGGATGCTTTCTCAACCTGGAGAACGTTCTCTGGTGAATTACACCACTGTCTTTATGTTCTTCAGATCCCAGCTGAACTGCTACCTCGCAAGCTATCGCCACACACACACCATGTGCACATTTGGTGCTTTTCAGGAGCTTATCTATGTCCTTCACAGTGGTGACGTGTTCCCTAGCACTTGGCATAGTGCCTGGTCCGTAGTGAGCCTTGATAAATAGATGTTAAGTGAACGTGTGAGTGTTCAAAACATAGTCACAACTTGGCAAGGAAACCTTAGATGGGAGCAAAAGAATACATGGATCTTGGGTAGAATGAGGACAAATCAAGGTACAAAGTGACTAAAAATGAGTAAAGAATTGGAGTTTCATCCAGTGGACTTAAAAGACATTTTTTTATGTTTCCAAGCCAGATTAATTTCAAGCCCATTGAAGTTCCTTTCCAGGAAGGAACTACTTGCCATTCTCCAGTTCAGGCAAATGGCTCTTTTCTCGTGTCCTGGTGTGGGGCAGCTTGGGTATGAGCGCTGCAGCTACTCGGAAGTAACCCAGTTGGTCCATTACTCAAAGGCCGGCGAGCGAGCCGGAGTAGTGAGTCCCCGTTTCTCATCACGGAGGACAACTTTTATTTTTTGCTATTCGTATGCACCCCAGATTTAGATAAGCATTACTGTTTGCCAGCCACTGTTTGCCGTTACTTCTTTTCCAGTTTGCAAGTAATTTGTGCTAAATTACCTAATCGGGCGAGTGGGAGGAAAGGAGCGCTGGCGCAGCCTCAAAGCGATAAATCCCTAGCAGAAGGCAAAGAGACTTGCCGGTTTCTTCGGCGGGCTTCTGGTTTCATCTCTAGTGAGGATACGACGTCTTTAAGCATGTAAAATGCCCACGCTCTCTCAAAGACCCAGACGTCTGAGGACCAGAGCTAAGGCTGGCATAATTGGCCGGGGTGACCAGAGGCTCCAGGCACAGGAAGTGCAGTTTGGGTGACGGAGATGAAAGCCGCTCCTTTTCTCTACCCTAGCCCATTCCAGTGCATTTAAAAAGAGGTCAATGAAGTAGCTTTGGCTCTGGATTTAATTTCCTACCTTAGCGTACTTGTTCGTTCATGACACTAGGGGGCGTATGAGAGCCAGGACAGAGGACAGTCCTTTGTTCTTTCTGAAGTCTGTTTTACAGACCTTTGTGTAATTCCGGAGACAGATGAGCCCACTGTCACCAAAGCTTGGGGGAACTATGATAACGTCACATTGCTTTCTTTCATGGCTTAAATGTGGCATCCGCTCCTTACCTTTGCAAATCAGGGGACTTTTTTTTTTTTTTCTGAGTGTATCAGAAAGTCAACAATGACTCTCAGTTACGAGGCTGCCAGTTACAGTAAATCAGAATAAAATAACAATAAAATTAAAACAAAATAACAAAAAAGACATGTCCAAGAATTGTATACTTTACAGTGGTATATCATCTCCTGATGTCTCTCACTATTTATTCATTCTTTCAAAAAGGTCATGGCTTATGGTGCTAAGTACTGTGATAGCCTATGGAAAGACATACACAGAGCACAGTACTGGCCTCAGGTTGGTTGTGAGTTTAAGAACTTCCAGACTGAAGGGAAGTGTGGCTGCCAAGGAAACACATAAGAGAGGTGTCTACTACTGGGCATGAAGCTCTGAGGAGATTCCTTTGGAAGAACAGGTAAAAGGTAGAGGCGAACTTGGCAGAAGGTAGTGTAGGCAATGGTGTGTGTAGAAGGCCATAGCGTATGTGAAAATTGGGGTGCACGTGTGAGAAAGACTTAGTCATTCAGATGCAGGGACAAAGGCTGTAGCCGTGAATTGAGCATAGGTTTAGAAGATGAGGTCAGGAAACGTGGGCCTGACCCTCACTGAGTAAGACGCACCCTGGGCCAGATGACAGTGACACACACCTTTAATCCCAGCACTTGGGAGGCAAAGCCAGGCAAATCTTTAAGTTCAAGGCCAGCCTGGTCTACAAGTCAAGTTCCAGGATAGCCAGGACTACAAAGAAACTTGTCCTCCTCCAAACAATAAAGGAAGCACCGTTGGGAGCTTTGGAAGCACCCTTGGGAGCTTGGGGCGTGGCACTGAGAAAGTCTTTGGCCAGTCTTCATACCTGGGCTTCTCTGTTAGCATTCAGGGCTTACTTTTTCAGCAAGGTTCCCTGCTGTACACACTGACTTAGTGATTTCTCCTTTTCTGGGCAAGGATAAACTCTTCCTCTGTAGAGGCTGAGCCCCAATTCAGGAAGGATCACATCCTCATTGTACGGCTTGGTTGCCTCAGACGATTGGTGGGATTTAGTTTCTACAGCTACTGCTTCTATCAAGTTCCAGCCCTGTAGCAGGGCTTACAGTAATGACAGGGAGACTTATTATTAACTATGAAAGCTTGGCCTTAGCTTAGGCTTGTTCCTAACTAGCTCTCATAACAAATTAACCCATATTTTTAAATCTACATTCTGTCACATGACTTATTACATCATCTCTCGGCACTACCCATCCTGCTTCCTCTCTGTCTGTCTGACCACTCTGTCTTTTTTCCCAGAGTCTTCTCTGTCCCTGGAAGTTCCACCTAACCTCTTCCTGCCTAGCTAATGGTTACTCAGCTCTTTATTAAACCAATCAGAAGGTGCCTTAACAAAGATACATATTTCTGCCAACTAAAACCTCTTATCTATTAAGTAAGTTTCTCCTTTTCCAACCTCTGGCTAAGCCAATCTGTATTCTGTCCCCAGGAATTTATCTATTCTGTTCATACCATATGAGTGGAACCACCGATAGGTGACATTTTTGGCATACCTTTTTCGTTTTGCAAAAATGTTTCGAGTGTTGATCTGTGCTTCAGCATGTATCAGTATTTCATGCCAAATATTCCTTTGCATGCATAATCTATTATATGCTTTCCCATTCGTTTATTGATGATTTTCATTTTGGCTGTTATATAGGGGCTGATATGAATATACTCTCCTTTATCATTCTTCAGTCTTTTGGGTACATGTCCACTTAAGAGTGTAATCGTGGGGTTATAGGATAATTGTGTTAAACTTTTTGAAGAAAGATCTAGTTCTCTTTGCTGTTGCTATGGGGATATATGGATATTAGATAATGAAGAAAAATAACCTTTTATTGGATTATTTATTTTTAGTTTTGGTGTATGTATGTGCGCGTGTGCTTCATGTGCCATGACATATGTTGTCAGAGGACAACTTTGTGAGTCGGGCCTCTCATTCCACCATGGGATCCAGGATGAAACTCAGGACAGAGGTTTGCACAGCAAGTGCTTTTCCTTGCTGAGTCGTCTCACTGGCCCCAAACTAGCCTTTTCCTAGCCACATAGTTTGTACGGTTTTAGCTTTATTTTGGAAACTGACTTTAAAACCTGACTCACCAATCACAGTTACTTCACTAATTATAGTTACCCCACCTATTATAGTTACCTCTCTAACTCTGGTTACCTCACTGGGACAAACATTGACATGGGGATTTAACGGAATAGAAGCTGGGAACTCTTGGAATATGGATTCTCATCTCCAGGACAGCAATGCCTAGTAGCCAGGATTTCTCCCACTCTCTAGATGCATAAACTGTGTTTCCCAGTGTGTGCCACAGCTGAGCTGCCGGGAAGCCTGGAGGAAAGACATGGGAAAACTCA